TAGCGTCACAGAAATATTGTTATTTATGGTGATGATCAGAACATGAGCGTTGTTTGGTACAAAGGTCTGGGAGTGCCTACTTGACGTCAATTGAAAGAGATGGGTATTAACCTGTATGTTTGAAATACAGTGTGTTGTTATTGCTCTCAGATAAACAGAATTATCTCCTCTTAAAATCAAAGGTAATCTGTTTTACTTCAGGGAGATGTGGTGATGTCCACAGAGAACAAATCATTTTTGGCAAGTGGAGGAGGGATTTTCTTGGCAAGTTGGAAGAATCATCAAAGGAAGAGAAGAGGGATGGGATGCAACACAACTGGTTTTAATCACACGTAACAGTCAAGTTCCTCTGGACAGGCCTACTGTCTGATACGCCATTGTAAACGTCCTGGGGAGCCTGGGTTAAAAGAATGGAAAAACCAAGTGAATGGCATAAAGGTAGTCAGTGAAATAACTGGCAAAGCTTTTGTGGGCTGTCATTGTGCAGCGATATATCGCTCCTATTGACACAGTCCCCCAGTACCATGACTTCGATTTTTAACTGGTGTTTGGTTATCCAAGCCCATGCCTTTTTTTCAGTTTCGACAGCCGCAGCTCCTCAAATCACACTACACTTCTCTTTGACATAGTTCTGAAGGTGCTGAATTGGTTATGACAAGGATGCACGTTCTTTCCCACTGTACAACCACCAGGGAGAGGCGGGACTTTCTTTTCTCAAGCCAGTTCAGCTCTGAGGCGGTCTGAATTGCTCTGGAGGTGCCAGCTGCTTCTTCATGCCTGTGAAAGAGCCTGAGGTGGCTGGTCCCCAGACCAGGCACACTGTAAGCTGCCTGAATGGATGGGACAGGTCCAGAGAAAAAGAGCTTGGGCAAATACTTCTTGACAGGACTGTTCCTCTTGGAATTGCTGTTTCCTCTGGACACTGCGTACTCATTTCACTAAACTTGAGGGCAGAGAATGTACTAATTTTATTAGTGTATTCTGTAGGAAACCGAAGTTTCACTTCAACAATTACAACACTATATAATGTATATCACCACCCCACATAACAAGTCAGTTTAGACTAGATTATATAAACATCCAAACAAGAAAGTCAAAATAAAAGTATTTTATATAATTTGAGGATTTCTGAAACACAATGTTTTAGAACATCCATTGAGCGATGTTTCAAAATGATGTCTCTGTCTTCCAGTTAGGAATGAAAGGACATTTGTAACGTCCCAGTTGCCTTTGGAACACGAACACCTTGAGCTTTAATGGTTGTTGGAGCTGCATAGTTGGGATAGCTGCTCAAACTGCTGTAATAATTGCTTCCCTATGTCTTGTTTGGGTTGCAGTAGCGTTTGGAGGCTACTGTCAGGGCTTGAGGATCTCTTTTGCAAGGAACTCACACTCATATAATAAACTCACACTCATACAATAAAGGTAATACTTGGCCTTCAGTCACACAGAACACAAGCCCTGGACCTGATACAGGGAGATGAAGTATTACCAAGAGCTTTGGTAGTGACATGGCAGAAGTGGGGTTTATTGCACTTCGGCTACGTGTTTACTTGAGTAGTGATTGGCTGGGAGAAACATCTCATTGAATGATGAATTGGGTATAATTAACTGGTGGTGGTGGATGAGGGCTTGAGCTTAAAGGATGCTGAATGTCCTGTGAAGCTTGCCTCAGCCGGGGTCTTGATCTTGGATTAAATTTCTGGTAATGTGAAGATCAGGAACAAGACCTAAATGAGCACCAAACAAATAGGATTTAAATTCCCCCTTTCATCTGATGAGCTAAAGACTTCTTTAAATGCATAGTTTAAATAACCTGAAAGTTGAGTCAGAGCAACTGAGTTGATTGTTCAGTCTTTGAATACCAAAGAGCAACTGATACGTAGATGATTTCTAAGCAAAATCTTGTGTTTGTGATTTATTATTATTATATATTATAGTAAAGTGCGGAGAGCCCTGAACCTTTAAGCCAAGAATGGCCCTTACCCAAATTCATGAACACTTAAGGGTGGCCTATGCTGATTGTGAGTTCTCAAATTAAGATATACCTTGGAAAAGAAGGAAACCAAAATATTATTCAGTCTGCAGCAATCTCATGCCTTTAAGCTCCTGGAGGGCTTGTGTTTCTTTACTCTTGAGGTTCATTATGTCACCAGAAAAGCTTTAATATTTTACTGTGGAAGCAACATAGCCATGAAATATTAATTCCCAGGAATGTGGGAACCATGAAATATGGGGTTTTCTACTAAATTAAGATTTTACTTGTATATCTGTTCTCACATAGTTAAGGGAACCAATTTTCATTGTATGTTTATGTATATGTATTCTGGAAATCCAAATAGGAAAGATGTACAAAATATGGGAGGAATACTTTTACCTCGAAAAATATATTTCACTGATAACAATACCAGTCATTAATTACCTGCCTTTCATCTTAAACAACTTTACATTCTGTTTCCTTCCTGGAACCAAGTCTCTCATTACTGAACTGCACCCACTGTGGCATATAGTGAAGAGCTGATATATTCTGCCCTGTGAGACGTGGCAGCTGTTTAGACTTGTACATTGTTTACTTCCTTACTTCCACCGTGCTGTTCTCTCACCGTTGTAATGACCAACCCCATTCAGACCTGCCTGGCACAGACACGATTGTACTACGATCTCCAGCAGTCCCCAAGCCTTCTGCACGACGGCAGATGTCTCTGGCAGGAAGAAAAAAGTGGGAAGGACAAGGTAATTTGTAATCCATGTAAAGGTTATTTAAGTATTCTCCTAATTGCTAATCAGTGTTACTATAGGACTGATGCCTCCTTGCTGTAAAACAAATTACTGTGTTTTCTTCAGATATCTGCACATACCCATACACACGCAAATTCCACACCAGCTTTTAGCAGCCTCGGCAGAATGAAAGCGTTGTAGCGGCTTAAAGGGAATTTGAAGTACTTAGTTCTGGGGATAATTCCAGAATGTAAGTGTTCACTTAGGGTTTTTAACAATGTTATATACTGAATTTATGTCCATTGCCAGTTGATTAGAACGGAAAAATTAGCCAAAACATTCCAGAAGCATCTGTGTCATGGGAACCTTAGGCTTCTAGGCTATATGACACGCCAGAATGTTCACCAAATCACCAGGGTTATTTTCCTTAAAGCTACAATTAGTGATGGCACATTAAGAGAACAATTACCGGATAAGATTTGACGGCAGGAAGCCCTCTGCCATATATTGGAAATTTTCGACATATGCAACCATATTGCTAGAGAAGATGAGTTACACAATTAAAACCAAAACTGGAGATTTGTTATCAAAGGATGGCAAAGTGTATTAAAATCCAGCTGAGAGGTTCGCTGATCTCGTTATCTTCAGGCTTCTGTGTGAGTTAATCTAACACAGATAACAGTATTTGACATAGACAATTGTGCCTACAGTCATGTGGAGGATATTTCAGAGAACTTCTTCCCATTAGAACATGGAAGTTTATTATAATGCAACTCTTTAAAAAGTCTGATGCCAGAATTGCACTTCAGGGGAATAAAACGAATAGTTTCAGGGAAATGAAAATTATAAAAATTCTGACAGTCAGAACAGTCCATTCTAACATAATCATTAATTTCTAAAATTTTGAACAAGCCAAAATAATTTGCTTTTTACTGCACTTAATAATGTTTAAAATGCAAATTATTTTAAAAGTCCAATTCAAAACAAGCATTTGATTCTGTCCAAATGAAAAGTTTTAATCAACTTGGAAAACATACGGTTATGTGGTTTCCCTTCGTAAAGAATTTCAAAATTCTCCTTTCCTGTCCTCATTTAGAGTGCAGCGGAATTTCAAATTCTGAATTTTTTTTTGAAAAATAAACTTCTGTCCTCCCACAGCACTTTCCATGTCTATATGAAGAGGACAAGAAGCTTAATGTGTAATTTCTGTGAGCCTTAATGAGATGGTGTGTTAGTATATTCAAATCCAGGCTTATACAGCTGCTGTTTGAATATAAATCATAGATTCTTTTGGGTTACACTAACACCCTCTCTAGTTTAGTACAGTTGTTAATTAATACAATACTGTATTAGTTCTTCTTACAGTCTTACTATTAACACCCCATGAAATCCCATTATCTCTGCATATGGTGCCAGACTTGTTCTGAATGTGGGAAAGAAAGAAATTTACAGTGGTATGAATAATAAAGAAAAGCTTTCAAGTGGTTTCCACTGTGAACATTTTGAAAAAATATTTTCCAGAGTGTAATTTGTGGGGCAATCTTTTCATAAAATTTCAATGCAAACATGCATATATTTGTTATTTGTTTTCCCCTGAAACATGAACACCCTTACATATCACTGTTGTTCTGTGGTAAAAACATCAAGAAGATATTATAGTTCCTAGAAATAAGAAATTAACAGGTTGTCCTGTTGTCCAAAGTGGTAGCAATGCAAAAAAATAAACTGCATAGCTGATGTCAACAGATAAATAAAACTTTCCTTACATTTTTGGTTTAGATTTTTTTAAGTACAGATAGCGATGACAGTCAAACTTTGGGTTACGTTTTCCAGAAGTTATCTGAATTTTCTGCTTCAGTGATCTGACGGATCCTTCTTAAATTCCAAGAAGATTTAAGTGCCATAGAAAAAAAACAGACTTATTTGTTAACACCTCATACAGAACACTCTAAAACGTTTTAGCCACTACAGAAAACTTCAGATCTGATTATCTTCTATTACTTGAGTTTTGTCCAGTATTGTCTCCTTAACGAAGGAGAGATCTGAGGAGGAACTGTTAGAAAGACTTTTAAAAAGATAGAATGACGAAGCAGGCAGGATTTAGAAGCAGATATTCCCTGGAGAAGCTGGCTCAATTGTAATTGCCTTCCATTCGTTCAGGAGCTGCTGCCCTAGAGTTGTAGTAGTAGCGGTGCATGGTTAGGAGGATTCTAGAAGGTGCTTTTCTCTTTCTCAGTCCTGTGGTTCATCTGTAGTCCAGCCTCTGCAGTCTCACTGTGCAATCAGGAATGGCCAGGGCCTTTCTGCATGGCCAACATCCAGACCGGGACACACTGCTCGGGGAATCCCTCCTGCCTCTCCTCTCGCAGGATGGTGAGTCCACTCATTTCAACGAGGCTGTGGATGATGTTCAGGTCTCGGATCACGCTACTATCCAGACAATCCAGGACACAGCCCTCCCTGGCTACATTGTCCTTGAGAATGATAACACCGTTATCCTTCAAGCCATTCTGGCACCGGATGAGAAACCCCAGGAGATCTTTATCTGTCAGATATCCTACAGATGAAAAGATGGAAAACAGATCACGACCGACCATTCGGACAGATTCGCCATACACACATCAGAATGGTGCCTTCATCTGAGCCTTCTCACCCTATTGATTGCAGAAGTTCTACTCCTGCCAGGTTTAAAATCTTGGGCAAATCAATGAGGTCAATGGTTACAAACTCAAACCAGTATTTAGGATCCATATTAGTAGTAGCAACAGATGTGGACAGAAGCCAGTGAGAATAGCAGAGAAAATACTGGGTGCTGAAGGGTTCTTTAATCTGGTGGTTAAAGTCATAATAAGAATCAGCAGCAAGAAGCTGGAGCCAAACAAATTCATATTGGAAATAACTGACAACTGTTTAACAGTGTAAGTAATTACCCATTGGAAACTACCAACAGAAGCGGTGTTTACCACCTCCTGAAGTCCTGAAATCAAGCATGGTTGAATTTCTCAAGAGATATTTTAACTGAACACAAACTACTGACTCTACAAAGGTAAAGGAATGAATGTAAGAGCCTGTGATATAGAGCAGGTCAAACTAGATAATCTAATAGTCCCTCCTGTCTTTTAATGCTACAAATTTCTGTAAGTTTGTATAACATTATGTACCCATCAAATGAGTTCTGGATCAAAAATCCAGTGAGGAATGCAAGACCTTCCAAACTGTCAAATAAATTCTTTATGTTACCCCATACTGTTGTGATTTCTGCATATACCATAAACATTTCAAACCAGTACTTTTTTCAATATGTTACTGAGATTGTGGTTTTTATCCTTCCTTCTCAAAGATCAGTACTTCTGTTATGTTGAGATCACTAGTGCAAGGCTCAAAGAAGAGCAAAATTAGAACCCTCACATGTGAAACATCTAAAATGAATTAACAAGGACAGGTGGTCAGAAAGTGAATGAAAAACTTGAAAAAAAATAATTGTTTGTACTTCCTAGTCAAAATATTTTGGTTTTTTGATGGAAGATTTAAACCTTTATAAATGGAAGTTGTCATTTCACAACCACATTTTGGCATAGCATGTCAGGTTTCTTTAAGCACCCCCAAAAAACAAGAAAAAGAAAAAAGCCCCAAAGCCTAAAGCTGAATACCTTTCAAGTTCAAAGAAAATGGTAATTTCTGTATGAAATGTAAACTTGCATATTTGTTTTTTTCCTAAAACAACAGCCTGGGCATAAGGCAAATCAAGATTGCATCAGCAAGATTCAGGAAAGCTTTTGAACACCTAATTTGGAACTTCATGGTCTCTAAACTTAGCTTTTAGCCTAGTTTCCTGAGCAAATGAGATCTTCACAGTGTTGCTTTCTACTAGACAGCCCTGCCCTTGCTCCACCAAAAAGTGTTTGGCTTGCCAGCATATTTAAGTAAAATTCAAGACAGGGGTAGAAGGTTGATTAATGCTTAAGATCACGACATATTTCACCGAAATTAATGGAGAAAGGAGATTGAGATCTGTATCTAAGTTAAAGAAAAGGCACATGCTCCCTTTGGCAGCATGATCAGCACAGCCTCCGTTAAGTCTTAGCTCACTCAGTCTCATGTTGATTTGGATTTGCTCTAAAGATGAGGCAGGAGCTACATTTACTGCAATGACTTGTTTTTCAAGAAAAGCAAAAAATACAAAGGAAAATTATACTGTTCTGAAGCAATTTGCTTGAACAGCTAAGAGGACCTCTTCTATGTAGCTCAGTTTCTTTACTTTTTATGACTATGGAGCAATTTGCTTGAACAGCTACGAGGACCTCTTCTAAGTAGCTCAGTTTCTTTACTTTTTATGACTATGTGTAGAGGACAAATAAGTGTTCCTGAATGAAGCCATCTCCTGGGCTAATCTCTCTATCTTTCTTTTTACTTAGCAAGAAACTTATCACCAGGGTTTTGGAGAAAAGGAGTTGTTCACACCTCCTCTTGCACTTTAGAATAATAACTTCTGCCAGCTAAAACTGCGCCATGGACACTTAGGCTCACAAATTAGGAGATCTTCTTTTTGGAAGGACAGTTAGGCACTACAGCAGGTTTTCTAGGAAAAAAAAAAGATTTTTTTTTGTGAGGAACGAGTCCACATTATCTGATTGCCAGTCTGCTGCAGAACGTTCACTGGGATATCTGCAGGACAAGAAGCAGATATTTCTTATATGAGGGGGTACTGTAGGACATAGCTAAGTGACCCTGTTTGATAAGCATCAGTGCATATATAAGACATGATTGGGTTTACAGGTATTGGTGATTTCACTGGCTTTTTCCAGATTGTTTTGTGAAATACCCTCAAGTCTGGATCATCATCAGATTCAGAAATCCCTGCTCAGAGGTGCCAAAATCATGTATCTGTCCACAGCACTGGCAACTAAGCAGGAGGATTCCTGCTTGGGAAAACCCATACGCAAGGCTTACTCCTCAGCTGCACTGTGGCATGCAGGCAACCCTCCAGGAGCATGTACATTCCTCCAGTATGTGACATGAAAAAAACACCCTGATTTGTACCCACTGTGCATGTGGCTGAGGAAAACTCTCAGAAGAGTCTCTTGTGAGATTTTAGGAAGCAGCCCTGAAGATCTGAGAACCTCGTTTTACAGCTGCACCAATCTTTTAACATCAAATTAAGACAGGCTGTGTAGTTCTCTGAGATGCTTGGCTGGATGAATCATGCTGAACTAACCTGAAACCCACTGAATCCAGATGACATCGTATCTTTGTGGGGATGGAGTGAATTCCTGGAGGCTTTTGCAATAATACATCTCTACTCTGTCCTCCTTGCCCTGCAGGTAGTTCGGGACCTCAGCCAGGAAATTCTCCATCATATCCACCAGTTCCACACTCTTGAAAACTGGTAACAGGACATGCTTGCTGATACGACCTATCCCAGAGCCGCAGTCCAGGGCGCGGTTGGTGCCAGCTTTCCCCACCCCCTGTGGGATACAAGAAAATCATTTGAAACGTGAAAAACACCACCTGGAAGATCACAGCAACTATGTTACCCACTACAGCCTTCAGATCCCCCAGCCTAGTGTCTTGTGTCCTTCTTTGCGCTGTCACAAGACTGCTAAGGACCTGGGGCAGTAGCGATACAGCTTTGGGTACCTACGTGTGAGCTGAGCTGGGCTGCTCTGCTCCCAGGCTGCTGTTGATGCGATTCCCTCATTGCAGCCCTGAATTTATTGCTGCAAAATACATTTTTTGCTTAGTATAAGAAGAGACATAATCTTTCACAAGTTCTTAGTTTTCCAAGAAGAGCCACTGTCTTTGTGAAGTCTTTGCAACTTCATCTGTCAACTATCCATACTTGACAGCCAACGACAAGGCTAGATAAGCCCCATCCTGAGCCCTGTAAAGGCCTAACAAAATAGTAAACATACTCCAAAGACTGCACACAAGAAGTAACTTCTGCAGCACGGAACTCTCAAGGTGCTCATGGACATCTCCGCAGACACACACGGTCCTTGGGATCAGGGTGCAGTTTTCAAAACAAGATCTTTGAGTTACGGATAACTTACGAGCACTCAAAAAGTTTGCACTGGAGCATATACAGAATTTCTTCTTCAGGCATATAGACAAGAGAGATGATTAAATAGATTTTGCTTAACTGTTCTCGTCGTCTTCATAAATATCATCTCTGGACAGAGATCAGACATGCAAAAATGTGGCACAAAGGCTACGTCTAGGAGAAAATAATGAGTCACTGTAAAAGGAGCTGTATAATGAAAGCTGTATTTCACCCCTAAAGCTTCCATTCTAGCCATAAATGGCTCTTAAGAGCCTGCTGCTGTTCTGTAAAACAGAAATTTTAAGTCTATACATGCACTGACTGTGGGATTGGAGCTCCCCTGGCCAAAGTTATCTGTTAAACAAATATATTAAAAGCAAATATAAACACCTTTTCCCTGTTCCCTGGAACTGAGTGTTGAAACGAAAGCTATGAGACATGGTCCCTGCTGCAATTTCACTGCTCTTAAAGGAAATAAGCCTGGGAAGAGTCTTACTGTTCCCGCTTATTGGGAGAACCCCTCTGTAATGACCAGGCATAAATCACATAACTCACTGCTTTTTTGCCCTTGCTTCAGGAGGTAATTCAGAAGATTATTAAGGTCAAAGGACAGAACTGTCAATGACATGACTATGAATAGCATGGCTGAGCATCTGGTTACACAGAGTAACTGTAGAAAGAGCACGAGGACCTCAAAGGCTCTCGCCAGTCTCCAGGGCTGTTGGTCCCAATCTGAATACCTTGGAAGATTAATCTCCCGGTGTGTGCAAGAGTCCACAAGCCTTCAACCCTATTGGGCTCTGGAGACGACCCGTTTGTAGTTGGCCAGAAAATGCAAACCATTCGTCATTCGCAAGCTGCACTTAGGAGCACGTGGCTTTTACCGAGGGCCAGACTAAGCTGTAACAAGGAGTTCATGAAACGGAAGGAACTGTGTCTTTACACAGTGGATTTTTGTCTTGTTTGCTGGCAGATACATACAGGCCTACACTGATGTGATTAAGTAAAAGCCTTTGATAAAGCTGGTGAGAAAACTGGGATGATTTACCGAAACAACTACCAGAATTTGACAAAAGCCATATAACTTCTTTGACATTTGTGTTTCAGAGAACCTACAGGCACAGCACCTCACCCAAAACAGGGAATTCATCTCCCATGATGTGTCGCAGCAAGGACCTGTGATGACACATTTCCATTTGCCATCGAGAAGAAGGAAAGGGAACAATCATGGGAGATGAAGCTTGATCCCACACTTCGCTGAAAGGGAGCAAGAGCATCAGGCAGTCAGATGAGAAGCCCATGGCTCTGCCTGTAATGAAAATGTTGACATAATTCTATGTTCAGCTACTATATTTTCAGTTTGGAAGTGCTCAGAGCTTTGACAGGGTATTAACATTTTCTTTGGAAGGCAATCATTTTCCCCAAAGCCTAATTGGGTTGAAAATCAGACTCTTTATTTAAAAAAAATAGTGTAAGTGAAAATTTTAAGCCAGAACAGGCTTAAAATTTAAGATTGGTTGCTCCTGTTATTACCAGCTTCGCATTACTCGGAATCACTATCATTTAGGACACTTAGAGACCCAAAAGTTCTTCTGTAAAGCTTACAAATTTCCTTAGGGATAAAAGAACAATGGAATATGTTCCTGATGCTACTTCAGGTCTTGGAAGGGCAGGAAGGCATTGTAGCTATGTAGGATAAAAAAAGAAATCAGAGTTCAAGAAATAGATGAAAATCACAGCGGTACTCTTTCTAAAGTAAAAAATAAAAATAAAAGTCAGGTTTTCAGCAATATCTCTTCCATCTCCATGATCAAAGAGGAGAATAACAACTTTTGAGAAGCTTTTCATTCAGCAAGTAACAAATGAGGCAGGTGAACTGGGGGCAAGAAAGGGAGAAAGGGTTTAGGGCAGAATGGGAGCTATAAAGTTAATATAATCTCCATCTGTATTATTACACACACCTATAGCTCACAACTGCTCCAATGGTTTCTTTGTTTCCTGTATTTCCTTTTTTTACACATTACTTCTGGATCAGGCACTTGAAAACACAGTGTCTATGTGCATATAAAGGCTTTAACTGGCCTTAAGACATTGCCATAAATATGCAGAGCTGTAGCTCTGCTGATAACTCTTCAAGTACGACTGTACCTCCGACAGCTTGTCTGTACCGCGCTCTTGGCTCAGGCAATGTTGCTTTTGGTTTGAATTCTGCCCACACACACATAAAACCTCTTAACCTGAGCACAGTGGCACTTTTTTGCTCAGTTCCACTCGCCTGGGAAGGAGACAGGCTAAAATATAAGTGAAGTCCTTAGTCCTCTCTGTAATTCCTTCCATGTGCCCAGGCAAGATAAATTCTCCAATGGTAAAGAAATCTGTAGCTCAGTTTACAGTGGTGCTAAGAATCATGCTAAGAAGTGCCATACATGAAGGTATGCAACATCAGTCATGTAAGGGAAATGTCACTGTGTGGCATTTCCACACCAGCCAAACTAACTCAAGAGGGGTAATTTGAGTGGAACCGGGCAACTCTTTTTTAAGGAGCTCTGGTTTTGCCAGAAAATAAAGTTTCGGAGGAATAAAACTCTCTGGGAAACTGATATTTCAAATCTAGAGAATAGTTATAGCCAAAAAACTTGGGAAAGAATGCTGAAAATGTCAAGATACTTCTTTTTCATGACTTTCAAGGAAAAAAAAAATTTACTTGTCAACTTTTCATTTCTAAACAGCATTTTTCATTTTGGAACTGACTTGAACTCTTGAAAACAAAGGGAAAAGCCACGGGGTAAAACAATTTTAAAAGTATGTCCAGTTGATCTGAAATGAATTTTTCTATTTTCTGATTTTGCTAAACTTCTCTTTAAAAAAGAAAATATAGTATATATTAGGGTAAAGCAAATTGTGGTTTTCTATCTCGATCATCTCCTGGGAAAAAGTATTCATAGAGCCATAAACTCAGGAAGAAATAACTCAAATGAGTTTTACAATAAAGTCACTACTACAGAAAGCGAGTAAATATCTGTATCTGGTTGAGCAGGATTCAAACTGCAGTAGCAAGAAAGGAAAATAAACCGTTACGTAACATAACGAATAACCAATTGACTGTATCTCAGCAGAGGACAGGCTTTAACAAACTAAATCAGAATTAGCAGAATGTGCAGATGCCTTTCTGGTTTTTGTTTCTTTGTTGTTTTTTTCTTGTTTGATCTTGGCCATTCAGAGTATCCTTTCTACCCCTGGCTAATAATAGAAGCAGAAACTCTGCCCTGGAGTATTTTGTATCTGTCATCACACCTGATGCATTGGGTATGATTTCTCTTTGGCATGTGAAACTGCTGGAGACTGTACTTTCTTTTTCGGGTCTTGGAGACGAGGAAGCGTAACAGTGTGACATAAACCTGCCATTTAGGAATCTAAATCTATACGATGTCTAGGAAGTGTGAAAACTTTCCCTGAGTACATGCTTGTGCAGCTCTTGAATTCCACAAATGTCCTTAAAACAAGAATGAAGGAAAATGTAAGGAATGTGCCTTAAGCTAGCGCTAGGCTTGTAATTTGCATTTATTTTTTTCCGAAAATGCCAGTTTACCACCAGGTTTAGCTGTCCTGGTGAATGTCCTTATTTTAGATTTGTAGAAAGCCTCATACAGTGAGGCTTGCAAATGTTATGAAGCCTTTTTGCATTGGCATTAATACAAGTGGCTGTTAATAAAACCAATTTAGCTATTCACTTGTGTTTTGCTGGCTCACTGCCCCAAAAGCCTCCATCAGGTACAGCGAACTTTGCTGCTCTACAGGATCGCTATCTGTTGTTAAACCACACTCATTTTCTACCCCAGTCCATTCAAATTGTGCCCTTTTTTATACACAACATCTAATTAACTTATTGAGCTTTTTTCCCCCAGTAGGACTAAAAAAAGGTCATCTGGCTATCTGAAATTTGTACACCTGAGCAGAAAATGAAAGACCTGTGGTAGCATTATATAGAACTAGTAATTTGGTGAGCAGAATTTTTTTCCTGTAGCTTTGTGGATCCTTTAGCATCTAATACTGTTGTTGAGCTAATTTAGTGGGCTTCTCCCCTGGGAAGAGGGAAAGGCAGTCAGAAAACCATCAGGCCACAATTCTAAAGATTTGCAGATTCCCCAAGATACATTTAGGCACCAAGATTTTCAGAAACCTGAGAAGCCAAAGCGATATTGCTGTTGTAGGTGCTTTTAAAATGCCACTTGGTATTTCTTTGCATCTGAGGTCAAAGCAGATCTTTGAAGACGTTTACGGACCTTCATAAATTTGCCTGCAAAGACCCCCAGTAACACTGGAATGTTCAATAAACAATATTTTTCCTAATGGGAAGATTATTTTATATACTCCTGATGTTGGGGAGCAGGGGAAGGGCTGCGTTTCATTGCAGCATTCTCAGAAATGTCTATAAATAGGCAAATGAGAAATTTGGCCTTTAGTCTCATCTACATTCTTAAACGGACTGCAGGAACTTGCACAGACAAATGTCCACTGAAGCCAGCAAAGATTTTATCATGAAAGGTCCCAGTTGTGCACTGAGAATTAATCTCCCACCCAACACAGCTATAAGAACTCCTTGCATAACCCTTTTTGCAGCTCTGGAGCGTAAGAAAAGAATGCAAAACGGGTAAATAATGACGTAAGGCCAGGCAAAATGTGTGTTCATGATGATGCATGACCTGGCAGAACACATTACGGGACCCAGCAATGGTCAGTTATGACCTGTGACTACATATCAAGTGTGACATACGGTGCCGTGTAAAATATACGCGAGTGGGCACAGTGCATGTCATTTATGACATATCACCACTGTTTCTGGCAGAAGATGGGATTAAATGACTCACCCCAACAAATTTCCTGAGAAACTCTCTGGAGGATTCAATGTCTGTATTGGAGAGCTCAATGTAGTCTCCCATCATGCCCTCTTCTGTGGCTGGCACCTCCCGGTAGAAGTGTTTGGCCCTGGCGTAGAACTGCATCTCCCCATTGATAACTTGACTTGTCAAAGCGTAAAGTTTCACTGCAAGCAGATAAATCACTATTTTATTGTTAATGACAGACACTTCTGCTTTAATTTATTGCTGTGGAGGCATGATGGTGAAGTTCTATAAACTAAAGCTGAGCCTTCAAATCACCAAACCTCTGTTTCTAAAGCAAAAAAATGGAAGGAAAGGTGCTGGATTTAGTCCTGCGAGACCCTGAAGGGATACAGCCACCTTGGGCAAATTCAGGGCCTCCCAGGCTCAGACATCGTTTTTGTCATCATGCTACATTTTCATGTCAGTAAAAATCATTTCAAGCTTGAAGTAAACATGCATGCCAAAGGGAGCACGGGGTTTGATTTGCTCCCAGAAAAGCTGGGGGCGGCATTTATTGCTATGCAAGGTCATCATTTCCTCTATCACAAACCTAACTGTTCTGCACATTTCACATTTCCATAGCTGCTTTGTAGGCACTGACAGCTGCACGGAGAGTGCACTGAGAACAGACTGGATGAATGAGGCACTTGCTCTGCTTTATTTTTAGTGATACTCCACAGTCTGCGGCACTGCAAGCAAACTGAACCAAAGAGCAGATGGTAGTCTCAGGCCTAAATGAATATACAGATGGGGAGATCATTCAGAAGGGACAGTCCTAAGTTTTTATCTGTCACAAATCAAGGAGCAAGATACCCAGTGGGTGATATACCGGAAAGTTCCTGCGTGCCAGAGGCACATATTTTTCTTTTCATTGCTTGGCTGTTTTGCTGGTGAAATACAGCTATCACAAGTCTGACGCTGTTTTATTAAAACCTGTGAGCTTTGCTGGGTGAAAGGCTATTCTTTGAGAAACCTGTTCTTTTAAAACCTGAGGTCTATCCTCTGCATTCTGAGTTTTTTCTATACTCTATGCATTGGTATATCAAAGGCAGTTACATTTTGCAGCTCAAAAGTTTCAATTAAGGCAGGCCATAAACAGTTTGCTTGGAAATCAGCGGCTCTGACCATCTCAGGTGAGCATACAAGCAATCAGGCATTTTCCTGTGTGTAGGACAGACCTTCAGCAAAAACACAACTGGAAGCCTCTCTGTGACAGCTAAGCAATAAGGAGGGATGGAGTCACAGTGGGAACGAGTCTCTGTAAGCATCACCTTGCAGGGTGAGACCAGCTCTGCTCCAGATTCCCAGCACGCTTGAGGAACTGGAAATGACTCAGCAGCAAACCCCTTCTGGGTTAATAACAGAAAGGGAGAGCTCTCTGCTGGCTGCAGACACAGAAGGACCAGGGAGCAGTGTTTTGTCATTGCATCTTTAAACTTCCATGGGAGCGCTGCCGGTTGCTGCTGGGAAGGGTCTGAACAGACCACGTCTTGCTTACAGTGGCTGGGGAACAGGAGTTATGCCCTCCACGCAGAGGAAGATAGCTAGGCCAGAGGCCCTGAATATAAGCCTGGAATGTATTTATTGAGGGCAAGCAAGCTCAGCAGGGAATGATAAGTGTGTGCCTGCCCATCCTCAGCAGGAGAATGACATTTTGGAGGCAAATGAGGGGGGGACAAAGGAAGTAGGATGGGGAATAATTACCACCAAGGACCACTCGGAACAGAATAGTGCTATTGGGTTACACATAAGCAGCATGCCCAGCATATCCTTCATCCAACAAAAGCAGCATTACCAGCCCCTCTTGTCATCACCTGCTTAAGTCAACTGCCGAACGGATACCATTAAAGCTTTAATCCATTACACATTTATGTTATGCCTGAGAAATTTATACCACAAGAAGCACTGAGCCCAGCAAGGGTCAAACCTGGGAGTTTTACACACTCCACTGATTATATTCACATACTCAGAAGAAACCATTTAGCTGAAGAAATTAATGCAAAGGGGGCAGCAGCCAATCTCCAGCGCAACTTGGCCAGCACAACTCCCAGAGCCTGGGAAAAAGACTCCATTGGTGGCTGTGAATCTTCCAGTAAATCATCTCCATCTTCCCCTGAGAGTGGCACCATCTTGTTTTCTCTGTCTCTCTTTATTCTCCATTTCAGATGCCTGCCTACCTGGTGAATAGAATTGAATCTCTGCATGTTGGCTTTGCAAGACCTTCCGTATAAGAGTCCAGTGATGATTTCTAGGGCTTGTTTAGTGGACCTATCAAGGGACAGTGATTTATCCTGTCTTGCTAGATTGAAGTGAAAGGCATTTTACAGGCTTTCTGCACACTAGGACAGGGTGTTTCAGGCAGCTGGCAGTATGAACAACAAATATATAGAGTCCTTCTACTCAAAACATGAGCCTGACCCGAGGCAACACATGGGGACAATATGCTGTTCAAGATATCAGATCTGCAGTGTGTGCTCTCAGATTTCTCTCTCAGAACCAGCATCGGGCTCACAGAATGCCTGCTGGGACTTGCCTGCACACACCAGCTGACTGCAGCTTGTCCAGGGCCAGCTGGGGCCCCAGAGCTCTGCCTTATGTGCTGGCATCCGAAACCAGCTCTGGGCTTCACGTCCGTAGGGTCTTTGCTAAGCATCAAACTTTGCAAAGATCTTTTTACGCAAGTCTCCCACCTAAGGTCATGCAAGGACACAGGCTGAAGTTAAGAGTGGCACGGTACCCAAAGTCTTCTCCTGCAGACCCAAACTCTCACTCAGGCAGCGTGCAAGCTCTAGAGATGATTTCCACCTCTTGCTCCCTGAGTGTCACTCCTCCCTCTCATGAATTTGCAACACTGCGAACTCTCCACACACAGCCAGTGAACCTCACCTCTGCCCTGCCTTGCAGCTGTGCCTGGCACGCAGGCTCCAGCAGCAGCACCAGAGGGAGGTTTGCCAGCTTCCACTAATCTACCCCAAAAGAGAGGTGCGAGGAGGTACACATCCTCGGTGGCAGTTAGTGTTGCAGCTCTGCTCCAGCATGCCTCCTCCTCATCACAGGATCTGCCTGGCCAGAGGCATCTCTCCTTCCATGAGCCATGCGGGACTATCTCATGCATCAGGAAATGAAATATTTGTGAGGTCTCTTACAGCCTGATTTCAATGAACGCTGTAAAGTAGGGCATAGGCAGGACAGGATGATGGAGGCTGCAAGTCTCTCAGACGAGGTTTTCAGTGTTAAGACAGGTCACTTTGAAGGTTTAAGGTTAGAAATGTAAAGTAAGAAGAAACTCTGTTCATGGCACATTTAGTCTCTGAGTTGAATCTGCAGGCAAGCGGAGATGCTTAAAACACACCCACTGCAAAAGCAGGCTGAGAACAGGAACTGGCTCCCTAAAGGTCACTCCACAGTCATAAGACGTTAATAATTTTCAGTTGCAGCAAATATGCAGAGTGGGGATCTGCAGCTGAATGCAAACCCCTGGACTAGACAGTGAGTGTCTACCTAAGCCCTTTTTGAATTCCAAAACATTATCTCTAATATTTTCTTATGGATCAGATCAATATTTTATTTCCAGGTACAATTCCAACCTGCAGTAGACTGTCTTACAGTTCTTAGTTACAGGGTTTACTCAGCTGAATTTCCATGGCAGAAGTAAATGTTGCAAGTAATTTTTTTGAAGTTTTTATTTGTGAACATTATTTTGTGGCTCCAACTGCTTTCTGCAAGGTATTGAACTAATTCCACTCTGGCTGAGTATTCCCTTTTAAATGCAACATCTGCTTTGTACATCAGTTGAAAAATAGTTTTCTGGGTGCAGGATAGATTTCACTTCTCTACTGTGGTCAGAGAACCATTTAAATTCTGTTTTATAGAGGATGAACATCAGCCCCACGTGCCTCACATATGGGAGTATATCTCTATGGATCAGTCACCTAAGTTTTCCACTGCAGATCTCACCCCACTGGCACTATGTCCCAGAGCACATGCATAATTTCCAGCATCTGATTAGCTCCATTAAAATCCACTGGGTTTAAGGGCATTCACACACATTTAAATACATTGTTGGATCAGGGCCTAAAGTTACCCATGTCTTTTATTTATAAATGTTACCCTGGTCTGTAAAAGTGACCTGTTTCTCTTAACAGGCTGTGATAACAGATATGCTCAGCTCCAAAGTAAACATGCCTAAAAGTGTTTCACCACTGAATCTAGCAATGGGGTGGGGGGAGATGGAGTTAGCATGGCTTGAAGCAAGCTTTCTACCTTGCTGACCCCGGGCAGCACCACAAGTTCAATGTGAGGCTTGATTTCAGTGTCATTAACTACTCTGTGCTAGGTCACAGACTTAGTATTGCTTTAGTTGTTTAACACTGTTTACACAGAGATACCTGGATCTAGTCTTGAAGTTTGAGAAGATCAGTTCATTTTTGCTCTGAGCTGAACTGGAAAATGTCATTCTGCAGAGATGTTCAGACCCACCACATTTTGTCCTCTCCATCACAGAGAGCAATGGATCACAGGATAAACCAGGTTGGAAGTCCAAACTTTTGTTCAAAGAAGGGACAGGCATGAGGTTGGATGAGATTCATCAGGACTTTATTCAGCTGGGTTTTGAAAGCCTCCAGTGATGGAGAACTCTGCTACCTCTGTGGGCAACCTGTTCCAATGCCTGACTGGCCTCACAGCCATTTTTGGCAACTGATTCCATTTTTGGCAACTGTCTCTTGTCGTCCTGCCTCACACCACTGTGCAGAGCTCAGCTCCATCTTCCAACTCTGACAATTCTATGATTCTCCCTGTAGGAACTAGCAGGCTGATACTTGGTGTCCCTGACACTGTCTCTTCTGGCTGAACGTGTCCCCTTCCCTCAGTCTCTCTTCACAAGGCATGTGCCCCAGTTCCCTCAGCGCCTTGGAGGTCATCCAACTCCCTTCATGTCATTTCCTGCATTGGCACTTCAAGGCTCCACACGTACGGTCTAATGAGTGCTGCATAAAAGAGGATGGTCACTTTGTTCGATCAACTGGCAATGCTTTTGTTAATACAGCACGGGATGCTGGTGGCTGCCTTTGCTCCCAGAACACGCTGCTGGTTCATATTCAGTTGCTGTCTACCAGAACTTTACCAGCAGGGCTGCTCACCGGCCAGCCGCTGCCTAGCCTGTGGTGTTGCTGCCAAAGGTTCTTGCTTTCCAGGTACAGGACTTGGGATTTGCCTTTGAATTTCAGTGAATTTGAATTTCACTGTGTTCCTACTGTTTCTTTCCTCCAGCCTATTTAGGTGCCTCTGGATGGCAGTTCTGACCTAGAACTTGTGGATAAGTCCCGTCAGTCGGCTGCAATCTGCAAATGGAATGAGCAAGCAGTCCTTCACCTTCTCCAGGTTATTGATGAAGATGTTAAACAGGACGGGTCCCAGGACAAACCTGTGCAGTACTCCACCAACCTCAAGATTTGACCGTGACTTTGTGAGTTCAACCACTCAACCAATTTTACCCAGCTGATTGTTCACCCACCTAGACCATGACATCCTAGCATGCTGTGAAGTTTCTTGGATGTGTGTTCACAGCACACGAGCTACTCCACAGTACCTGTCCTTACGCACACTTTTACTTCCTGACGATAACCACGCGGTAACAGACCTACTGCATGTTCACATGAAGGCTGGCCTTGTGGTAGCTCTTCACAGAGTCATACTAATTTGGATAGGCTGGCAATAGGTTTGTGAGCTCTTTAGTGAAGTTTTAATGATTCAGGTCATGAAAAGCCTGGCAGAGGGGATCTTTAGTCTGATGGGAACATTTTACAAAGCTTCTTGAACTGGGAATGGAAATTCAAATAAAATTCAGAAAGAAGACAAGAAATAAAATCGAGACTGGAGCAGTTAGGCCTGGAAACAGATTAATGATGGACTGATGGATTCTTAGCCATTTGCAGCCCTTAGACCAAGATATTTTTGTCTTCATAAGTATATACTGTGACCCAGTCATAAGTCACAAGCATGATGCAGGAACTTTTACATAAAATTCTAAGCTAGATATTCATAACAGTACCTTCTAGCCTAGTGTTTACATTCACAGTTAACACTGCAGGAAATCCTGCTCAGTTTCTAATATGTTGTGTTTATTTTCAAAACAAATGAAAGAATAACATTTTCATAGACTTCTTGAGATTCCATCGACCTATAATTGACTTTCCTTCCTTTCCATCTTTCCTTCCTTTCCATCGTTCACAGCTACCTACCACTAGGGATAAGAGTATTTATCTTCCATATTTCATTTTAAATAGCTGCAGATATTGCTGCATTTGAAAAGCCACATCTAAATAGTAGGATAAAATGGAAATGCTTTTTCTCTTTACAGGACTCATGAATTCTACCGTATCAAGCTGAGTTCTCATTGAGGTCTGTGTAGTTTCACAGAGTCAGGTAAAATAATCCACTTACCCAAATGAATCAGTCAGGAAGAAGCCCTCAAGATTTCACTCTGAAAAAACAGGCTGCACAGACACATCCTTTCCATCTCCTATTCCTACAGTTTTACATTGAGTTGAGGCTGAATAATTCTGCTTAAAAGGTGACATGCTAACATAACAGAGACTCAAGTCAAATCTACTTTTTAGCTATACTGTCCTGGGGAAATTTCCTTTCTTTTTCAGGGTCAAATTTTCATAAGAAATGAACATTCATTTACTGCATCTAAAAAAAAAAAAAAGTCCTGGCATCCTGCACAAGAGGCTTTCACTGAAATTTGCCTATAAAAAACCATTCTGGAATATTTTTCCTCCCAGGTAACAAACTGTAGGTTAGAGAGCCTGCCGTAGAGATTGGAATTACAAAGACTCTTAAAAAAAAATCTAAAAATTATTTCAAACCTTTCAAGCACTTGTCCAAAGAATACAAATAACAAAGCTAATGACATGCCGAATGACAACAAAACAGGTATTAGGCAACAGAAAGTAAGGCCTGTCAAGCTCTGCTAGTTTTGCATTTGCCATTCCAAGTTCTGAACAGGTCAATGCATGTTTTGTAACAAAAAAAGGAACCGTCAGCCAGAAACCAAACTTTCTTTCACTTTCCTGGTCTTTCCCTTGCTCCTCTCTAATAATCTGTGGAGCATTTAGGTAAAACAATGGGATATTGAATTAGACAGAGCTGAGAGAGTGTACTGAACAGTTTGGCTAGCACTGCAGTCTCTCTAGCTGGGCTTCTCAAAACTACTACTCACTGTCATTAATGTGTTCATGCCCTACCATCTAACACGGTCAGTCTTTCCAAAGCACAGTCCCATGCGCACACAGATATTCCTGTTGATCAGCTACTCACCCAGGGGAAGCTTTTCCAGAAGATAAAGGTAACTCTGAAAGAAGTCATTTCGGATCGCCTTATGCAAGATGAAGGACATACTGTGCCGACAGAGTTCTTCATCTGTCTTGTGCCAGCGCGACTTAAAGGCTAAATGTGCTGCTTTATATGCCATGATGTTTTTTGCAAGGGTGGACAGTTGCTGTGGCTGGTGCTCTCGGGAGGACCTGTCCTTCTGAAAAGGCAGAGGCAGCGTCATTTAAATTGTGGCAATGTGCTGTCATTCTATATCGGGGTGTGTGTCTAAAGCAGTGCAGGAGGCGGAGGCGGGTGAGAGGGCAGTGAGAAATGCCGGCTGTTGGCACTGGCTCAGAGCAATCTCTGGAGTGTCGCCCTCTGAAATGAGCAGGTGCTGGAAAATGATAAAAAACTCAACCAGGAAATTGCTTAGACAGGGTAAAAAGTATATCTACTCCAAAAGGCAGTGGCTTTAATTCAATTACACTTTTCCTAAACTATTCAGCCTTCACTTCAAAAGAACTCAGATATTATCCAGGATCCTCCATCTCCCTCTTTTATATCTCACAGGATGATTTTGTTTCTCTGTATCTCCCTATTTGTTTTTCACTCCAGGGCACCCAAAAGAAAGGCCAGAAGACAGAACGTGGACATGCCTCTACACAAACTGTGTGTCCTAATAAACTGTGACTATAGCAAACAACGAGAAAAGAACAGTTTCAGCTTCATGCTTTGCCACTGTACATGGCAGGGCAAGCCACTCTCTATGCACTACAATCTGCCCAGGTTCACTTATCAGCAGAGCCTAGCTGGGAGAAGCTGCTCCCTGGGAACACAGGAATGGTAAAGCCAGGGAAGGGTAAGAGCTTTTTTTGCTTTAGCATGGAACAACATGGAACAACAAAAGGAGATGATCAACTGCCCATTAACAAATGTAGAGAAATATATTGGTTGGAAAAGAGAAGGAAGGCAAAATTCTAGAAGAGGGGAATAGGGTGAGAAGTTGAAGTGCTTCTAGGATGGAGAATGCTAAGCTGCTGAAAGGGGCTGTATATCCAAGTGTGACCCATCCCAGAGGAGGATCACACAGTCAAAGGACAAGCAGACAAGTACTGCTTCACAGGCACTCAGTGCGGTACAGTTTCAAGCCTCCTGAGTTGCGAAGGTACCTGCCAGGGGGATGGGGGCTTTGTACGGTTCTGAAATAATCTGTGACCCCCACACATTGTGCCCATGAGAGATTCCCTGTTTCACAGAATCACAGAATCACAGAATCACAGAATGTTAGGGGTTGGAAGGGATGTTTATTGCAGCTCTCTGCAGTGTAAGCACACTAAAATGCACCAAGAAATGATCAGAAAGTTGGATGTTTTTAATACAAAAGGGCTGCCATATGTTCTGAGCAGTACTGCTACTCCTAACAAACATCTGATCAAATTTCTGAGGGCAGAACAAAGACCTAGCCTCCACCAAGGAAAATCACTAGTAATTCGGCTACAGATGATGCTAAGCAGCATTTAGTAATGCATCAGTTAAAGCATATTTTCCAACATGACTCGCTTCCTTGGAGCAGTCAATCTGTGTATCTCTGCTCTGATAATACTAAAAGTATTTAGGGGCAAACCCATCCCTGGGTATTACTGCTTTTCTTGTTTCCCCAACTGCCACCCTGTACTACTCATTCTCACCTAACTGCACTGGCATGCTACTCCCCAAGCTGTTCCAGTCAACACAATCGTGCAAACATATTGGTGAGCAGATCAGTGAATAAATCTTATTCAGAAAAATATACCTATTTTTCAAGTGGGATCAGTTCCCCAATGCAGCCCACAGCTGACACAAGGGAATTTGTCATGTGCTAAAATCTAGGGGCTGGAACAGCCACCCGGGATGCCAGTGTGGAGGAGGCAGCCATACACCTGCAGTACACAGTGGCTTTAATAATAATCACAGAATCACAGATTTGTTGAGGCTGGAAAAGACCGCTGAGATCATCAAGTCCAGCCTGTGACCTAACACCACCACATCGGCTGGGCAACAGCACCAACTGCACCATCCATGTCCCTAAGTGCCATGTCTACACATTTTTTAAACACCTCCAGGGATGGTGACTCCACCAGTTCCCTGGGCAGTGCATCCCAACGCCTGATCACCCTCTCCGTGAGGAAGTGTTTCCTGAGATCCAACCTAAACCCCCCCTGACACAGTTTCAGGCCATGTCTTCTCGTTCTGTCACTAGTTGCCTGGAAGAAGAGCCCGACTCCCATCTGACTATAACCTCCCTTCAGGTAGTTGTAGAGTGATAAGGTCCCCTCTGAGTCTCCTCTTCTCTAAAGAATACAGACCACCTCCCCGTGTTTTGTCAGAGAGGTGTGCTGAGGGGGGTTCTGTGACAGCCAAAGGTATTCTAAACACTGGAAGACAAGTTCCTGTGGTCCCATCCCTTCCTGCCCACGTGTTCCCGTTGCTGGGATCTCTGCTGAGTCATTTCAGCTTGCTAGATCAGTGAGCTTTTTCTGTCTGGTCAGTGCTGTGAACCAGCTCAGCGCAGAGCTTAGAACTGCCAGAGAAGTTCAAAAGAAGACATAAACACGCAGTTGAGGATGAGATGGGAAAAGTGGGATCATGGCAGCAGTTAGATCAGCTCTAGTGCCACTGCACCAAAGTCTGAGCTGTGTTATTCATTCAGCCTTGAAATATCTCAGTTTCAAATTTCTTCTCAGTTACGTATCTATCAGAGAAACACCAGGCTCTCTCCAACTAATTCTGAAATAATCTGGGCCCAGACACGATCCTGGTGCATGTCTTGGTTTTCTCACAAATCTGGCCCTTTCTCTTTGCTTATCTGTTTTAGCCACTCATCAGTTAGTGTGCCAGGAGTGGATGCGTCAAGACAGCATGTCAATGCTTTGGAAGGACACTGCACAAAGCTTACTTGGCCACTGACAAAAGATCCCTAGGAAGTCAGAGCCCCTCCTGCCCCCACATTTGACACAACGTTTTACAATGGTCAAGGCTGTAGTTTTGGCAATGCCCATTATGTAGCAAAGTGACCCTTCTGCTTAGAGACTGCAAGCATGAAACCTAAGCCCTGACGTGTCCTAGTGGAGCCAAACGCTGGGCCAGCACTGTGGAGGGTGCTGGGACTGCAGCCCCAGGGCTTTCCATAGATTCGAGGTCCATGAGGGCCTGGGCTTTTACATTCCCGCGGAGGATGTGAAATGCCAAGGCAGAAAAGGGCACCATTTCTCTGGCCTTCTGGGCACAAGTGGGGCTTTACTCTCTTTGGAGCACCACATGTGGGTTTCCTGCTGCCTCCAAAGCGCCTCAGTGACTGACTCCAGTGAAACTCTCTCAATTTATGTCCTCTGAGAATCTGGCCAATTATGACAGTGAATACATACACACGGGAAACGGCCTCTTTCAGAGTGATTCCCTATCATTTTAATGTCCTGCTAGCGATCTCCTCATAACATACTCATAGCCTGCTTTCCACAGGAAAAAAGATACAGGCAATCGTCTTGTGTGTATCTCTGTCTGTGACTTTTATGATCCCATCACCAAACAACATTTCAAACTACCTACCTGAAATGAATCCCAGAACCACTTCAAAGCTTGTGTCAAAGTTGTAGATGGGATAGAGAGGCAGGTCTCATCTTACTGTCACTCAGCACAGTGACAGTGAGTTTTGCTGTTCTGAGACACCATAAAACCCATGAAGAGGGATGGGCATGGGTACATCTGCACCTCTCTTTAGAAGGTACAAATGCATCAGAAATAGCAGTTCACAGGCTTAGTTTTTCAGGCTGAATATTAGTTATAACTTCTTTGATAAATCAGTGGTGGATTTGACTCACAGTAATCCTGTCCCACACAAAAAAGTGAAGCTCTACAGAATGCTGCATAAGCACTAATTCTATTTATTTTATTTGCATGTGATCAAGATTCAATCCCTGTTCCAAACAGCTCTATAATCCAGAGTTACTATGGACACACACTCAGTTTGCAGATCCTAGTGCAGCTAAGTAGGTGAATCACAACAGCATCAAACTTTTTAGAGCACTTTGAAATCACTTTGTATTGCTGTCAAAGGTTAGACAGCAATATAGATTTGTGCCCAGAAGTGTCTGAAAATAGTAAAGGGTTTTTTTCCAAAAAGTAGATGCTATATTCTATACCTATTTGCCAAAAGCAGCACCTTCATGTCTTCTGCTTCATCCTGTCTCCCAGCCTCATATTCTGAACAGGAATAGTACTGGTCTACCCAGAAGCTGCAAACAATTACATATCCTACAGCTCCAGTAACAAGTGTGGGGCTTGAGTATGGACACAATGGCACCCATACAACTTGTAGAATCACTAGTGAAGTAAATCCACTCCTCAACTTGAGTTTCCCAAATGGCCATCTGACTCTTTCTGAAGTTGAAATGGACCTCTGGATAAGCCGAAGCCCTACACTAAAATAACAGTAGACACAGCCGTAACGCATGATAGTCCTTGCCTCAAAGAGCTTCTGGTCTAAAATAAGAATGTGTTTGTATTTATGTGGGTAAACAAATAGTTCTTTCATATGTCATCTTCTTCCTCCCTGTGAGATGAGGAAGTTCTAGGACACCAGGTTTACCACAGATTACAAAAGCTAGAGCGGCTTCTTGATAAAATACCTGCAGCTGATCTCTGCCTGAGGGTAGCAGCTTTAAAATAACGTTATCAGATGGCTTATGAGGAGTCACTGCAAGAGCCAAAGCAGATCTGTTTGTTGGAGCAACAGGTTATTTAAGAGAAGGTGTATTTACTTTCATATTAGTAGGTAAATACCTATATCTGCAGATCTGAGCTGTACATGCTACTTCTGAAACACATTAGCTGCACAGAAGAGAAGAAGAAAAACATGTGCACTAACTCCACATATCGCGCAGGTCATAAAGGGTCAATTTTGCCTTTAAATTACCGTGTTCTGCACACAAAACACCTGGTATGTAATCTGATTTCCACACAGACACGCCATCAGGATTCCTGTAAGATGTCTCTTTATCTTAAAAAAGGCCTCTATATTAATTCTTCTCCCTCACGCTCACGGCTGGCATATGCTGTCAGGAATAGATGTGGTTAAAGCAAGTAATTTTTGTTTTATCTTCAACAACAAGTTTCTTTAAGTTCCTGAAAACCACAGGATAATGTTGATAGAAGAGGGACAGGCAGGGAGCACACGTGCAGTTATGAGGGCAGGGAACAGCTGCA